AATAAGTATTCGTTATTTTTTGTTAAAGACCTTGTATTTTGAAAAACATAAACTCCTAGAATACGTCGATGAAGTCACAGCAAAGATTTTCAAGCTTGTTTATCTGCACAAGCGATTTGTTTTCCCATCAAGGTCTGTTTCAACATGTGTAGGGGCATCGAAATGTTTAAGGCTATTGGAAACCAAAAAAAAAAAATAAAGGAATGGGATAGCTATAGTTCGATAAAACGGCAGATGAAAACACTAAAATCAATGATTTTTTTCAGTGGCTGTGTGACCTTGTGTCTGACACATTCATATGCAAATGACTAATCTGTGAAATAAACAGGGGCGGAGACAAACCACTCAAATGTTTGGAAACACTCATTGTGTGTCAGATAGCTACTGATAACACATCCTAACATTGCTTTGTCTTGAGTTTATCTTTGAAACTTATAGGCACACAAATTAAACCTGTGTTGTTGAATTTAGAAAACACTACTGAGACTGCCTTACTTCCCTTCAGAAAATCTACATTTTAACCAACTTACATGACATTCTAGGTTACGTTGACTTTGTCAGATGAAAGTTTATAGTGCATTTCATCAATTAATAAATAAATGTGAAAATCGGAATTTTCAACACAAATAATAGTCTCGCTACCTTAATTAATACAGGACCATAGCGACGTATAGAACACGTGTAAAATACATTGTTTACATGAAATCCGAACACGCGCTGCGTGACGACCACCACCCACTACTAGTGGGTGGTGGTAGACTCTTTTTATCCTTTCCTAAAGATTTTATGCGTCTAATAAAAAAAAAATAAAAAAAAAATAAAAAAAAAATAGTGTCCACTAGTATTTTGATATTTGATCATATTCACTGCGTTTTAAATTCACAGTTTGTCTACTAAAACAATTAGTTCCATTGTAACAATTGTACTCTCGGTGCAACGAAAACATTACCCTTCTCCTCTTTATAAATATTTTAAAATTTCACAATTCAAACTGAAACGAGAGGTTTCTATTGGACATCGTTGCGCAATGTGCTCGTTGATTGGTTGGTTCAGTTCAGGTCTGTGCTCTATGGAAGCAAGTTCGACTTGTCCGTTACATACTTTGATGCTTATGGGTATTGGTGCTATCAGCTTGTAAATTAACAGAACTCAGTACACGTTCTTCGTCGCTAGAGGGCGTGATCTATATGAAAGATGTAGAGACTCCAGAACAGTGTAATGACGGTTGCAGTGCAAAACAGCCATCCTATACGCACCACTCGTCAACACGTACACTAGGCATACAGTCTCTTGTTACCCGGTTTTCGCTATTTGCAAACTCTCATAATATGTTAATTTATTGAAAAAAAATGCTAAAAAATAAACAAGAGAGTATAAAAGTCTACACGTATACGACTCATTGTTGCATCAGTTGACCCAGATTGGTCAATCACGTGACAAGCTAAAATCGTAATAATCAAATGAATGCATCACAGATACTCTGATAACTCTTGTATTATAGAAAACCATGTATCCTAAGGTCTAGCAAGTATCAGCATAATAATGAACCATATAAACGATGGCCCGTCATTCCCAGCATAAAGAATATTCACTATTTGTTTTCACTATTTAGCTCCGAACAGTGAAATTTGCTTAAGATTTGACGCTTGAATTATAACGCAGAGAACACAGCCATATCACGTGACTGGGATTGCAGGACTCTGATATACATATTGACACTGACTCTTTCATGTTATTCAACTCACAGGCCCTTTAACCCGCTATAGAGGGACTGTGTTCTACTTAACGAGTCACTCACAACAAACTCATATTAATAATGTAATTGTTGATTTCCTTATTTAATTATTTGAGCATTTATCCACTGAAAACAAAAATTGCTGGAAGAAGTTGACAAAAAAAATCCTCCTGGGACAAACACGCCCGACTAATTCGGTTGACCCAGGCGACCTCACAAGAGAAACGTCTCGGTCGTGTAATAACCGGATCGTGTAACCTTGGATAGTGTGATAAGGGTCTACTAGGTCAAATAGACATTGTAGTGGAAGATGGTTTTAATAATACTAGTATTCTCTATTAGATCTAGTAAAAACCATTGGATTTATTATCGAACTTTATCCGATATTATCGGAGAATAACTACCTTAGACGACTTGAAAGATGGCTCTAGTAATATTCTCTATTAGATCTAATAAAAACCATTGGATTTATTATCGAACTTTATCCGATATTATTGGAGCATAACTACCTTAGACGACTTGAAAGATGGCTCTAGTAATTATCTCTATTAGATCGACTTGAAAGATGGCTCTAGTAATATTCTCTATTAGATCTAGCAAAAATCATTAGAATTATTATCGTACTTTATCCGATATTATTGAAGAATAACT